GTTGTGCACAAATAGGAACTTATCTCGTGATAAACAAAAACTCTATGGTGCTCAAGATTATTTTATTCTCGGATCAAGGATCTAACGGTTAAAAAGTATACTAATTTTACGTTTTGAATTGAGTAGGACTCATGTTCAGCATTTGAGTTTGACGCATGCTGATTAAACAACTCGTGCATTTTATGTCATTTTTGAAGCTTGTAAAATCATCAAATTTAGGTAGATCTGCTATATATATGATTGGATTGGTTGGATTGGTTGTCAGAATATTATTAGAACAAGTACCTTCTGTAGTTGTGACACTGTTGGAGTGGGAGAAAGTCTTAGGCACTAATTGCTTGTGTTATCTTATCATGATAGGCGTGCATTGTATGTACAAATTTAAAAAAAAATGTTGGTGGGATTCATATTATAATTATTAGTAGTAAACTTAATTAATAAAAAGATTATGGGTTCCACTAATAATGTTTACATACATGCCATCTTATCATTTATCTGGTACATGTTAGGTGCAATGAAACTTTGTCACGAGTATGCATTGAAAATTCTCAAACTTCTAGATTTTTTTATTGTGTTCAGTATACGGGGTGATGCATCACGTGTCACTATATAAGTGGTGAGATACTTGTGTTAAAAAACTAACAACTTAAAAAAATAAAAATTCCCACATCTTATATAATAACACGTGCTGTATCATCCGTGTTCCGGACACAATGAAAAATTTCTTCTGTATTTCTGTGGCCTGGACTTGTCATGGTCTTCCTCCTTTACGACAATCTGTATGTTGTTGTGATATATGTTTATGTATAGACAAGACACCAAAACAAAAAACAAGGGTAAAAAAAAAAAAATGAATGCTTAGAGCCCCATCTGCTGTCGGCCTACCGACACTTGAGTTTTTGACTAAAATTTTAAGGGACATTTTGGATAATTTCATCCACAAATTGGGAAAGGCATGGGAGGGGAGGGTGCTGTGGTCATTTGATAGGGAATCAAATCTTTGTGGTCCTAATTTCTAAAGGCAATTTCCGTAGTCCGGAAAAAAGGGTTGGTTCTTTTCCCTCCTCCTTGTGAGCCATGCTGCCATGCAAATGTTTAGTGTGAATGTTTTGGTTGCTGTGTTGCAAATGTCGTTGCCCTACCCAATCACACCATGCCTATTTGGGTGAAGGCCTCATCCTACTAGCCAATTTAGAACTCAAACGTTCAACTTCTTAAAATTACTTAAATGCCGCGCACTAAATAAGCAAATATTGTCCACGAAATAGTTACCGAGTCTGGTTTTTTGTTTCACCGATGCATCAATGTCTGTAGATTGTGTACACGTAGTGCTTTGTGGTCCATGACCTTTTATAATGCTTGATGAGAGCCGTATTCTAACATGGACAGATAGAAATGTTTTTTTCGTGTACAAATCACTGGGGCCATATGCTTGAGGCATTGTTTAATCAATCATGAGAAATGCCAAGAAAACTATCTCAAAGTGAGATTCTCTATAGAAGCTCTGCCATTTCATACTGTAACGTTAATTTCTGTATCAGTATTATATAACATTGTGCTAAAAGGAGTTTGAATTTTGAGTCTCTTTAGAATTTTTCATCAATAATTTTTAAGACCTATAGGTTAGGTAGAGCCTAGAGGATTAGGACCAGCAATTGTCTAGAATGCTTTAACGGTCTTAAATTGTTTTGTCCGAGTAGTCTTATGTAATAAATAGTTGTACGGAAAATCACATGGACTAATTACATTTGGTAAACCTGTGGGGTATAAGTGTTAGGGTTGGTACACTTCCCAACTAACTTTTAACAGACTTGTGGGGAAAAAAAAAAGCCAAATTGGTCAAATTTCTAAAGTTTTACACTGTTGCTTCATCAATCCTCTTTTTTGTTCGAACTGTTCTATCTGTTTCCTATACTTTTCCAAGTCATACTTGGAAGTTTGTATGAGTATGTAGAAGAAATGTCACGCATAAGAAAGTTAAGAAATCTGGTAGCGGTTTATAAGATGTTGAGTCATTCTTGCTATTACCAATTGATTTTAGCACGGAACCTTAACTTCATTTAGTTTGAACAGTATACTTTTGATATTAACCCGACTTCGAAAAATTGAAGCCCTTTGGCAATTGCAAATCATCTATCTTTATGCAATTCAAATGTATGTTTTTACCTGTAGAAGTGAATCATGACAGTAAATATTTTGTCCCAAATATTGCAGGAGATAGAGAGACATCATCAAGGGAAGGAAGAAAAAACAGGAGGAGAAAAGTAAATTGTCACAAACAGCTTTTACTTTTTTGTAAGGTGAATAGGACAAGTAGCCAGTTTGTAAAAAGGGGTGGGGGGGGAGGGGAGAGATCTGAGGGGGATTTCTTTGCCTGCCAGAGGACATGCATTTGTGGCTTCCCACTCTCAACCTTTCTCAATGTCAATTGTCAAGGGACCAAAGTGAGAGAGCTTCAAAAGCTTTTGAGAGGTTAAGCAGACAAAAAAGAATCAGGTATCATATATTCAGTTTCAAAAATTGAGTACTCATCATGGGTGGGAAAATCTGCTTCCATGTTTGTTATTTCTTCCCATACCCTTTTCTTTCTTATGTTTTTCACTTTTCCCCCCAGATGTTTTTCCATTTCCTGTCTTTTCATCCTTGTCTCAAGAAACTTGAGGGGTGGTGGTTGGTGGTGGCCGGTGGTGGTGGGCTAGCTACCCTACGATGAAAACCCAGAATTGAATACATAGTCAAAGCTATTTGTCTGCCTTTGGCTTTTTGTTTTTATTTTCTCATTGAATATATAGATATAGTGGTGGGGTGGGAAAAGTAGTTTTTCAGGTGTGGTGTGGGTTATAATTTTGAAGCAACTGACCATATCTTTCTCTCCTGGGTGGGGTGGGGGGCTTTCTAGGGTTAGGGGAGAAAAGTAGTATTCTTTGGTTTTTCCTGCATGTTCAAGTGTATAATATTTGAAGTCGCAGAATTGTTTAAAGAAAGCAATTTCAACTTTTGTTCTTCTCTTAGCTGTGTACATTTTTATAATTTAAAGAAGTGTTTGGTTTGGTTGTTTTGTTCTGGTGGCTGTGGAGTTCTTCACTTTTTCTTGAGTTAGCGTTCATGCTTTTGACTTTTGGTTTTTTGGGAAAGACGTATATGGAATGAATACGTTATTTGATTGACATGGGACGCTATATTGACTGTATATCCGCACCATATAAAGTTTTGTGGCATTATTGACTTTAAAGAATAGATGGAGAGGGTTGGCGGGTTTGAAACGTTTTAGTCATGATGCATCTGCGCATGACTTACTTTTGTGTATTCTTCATGGAGAAGGGTCAGCGCGGCTGCTATGAACACATTCTTTCACTACTTTTAATAGAATGAAAGTGAAGATTCTATTCAGACCCAAATATTCACTCACAATTACAGTCCACATCAGAATCCACTACCGTGAACATTTATAAATTTGTATCATATTTTCGGTTCATACATCGAGTTCTCTTTCTAAGTTTGGAGACTTTAAAGTTCTAAAAAATTTTGGACTCCATTTTTACAATAAGAACTCGACCAATCAATTAGTTAGTACAAATGTACTATTAAAACACTATAAATAGACTGCAAAGACACTAAATTAAGGACTTATAAATAGTAGCGGAGCCTGAATCCAAAACGTGTTACTCTAAATCTTTCAAGATCAAAGAAAGATGTCCAATAAAAATCCCAAAAAAAAAAGAAGGAAAAATGCAACTTTTGGGACCTCATGCAAACCATGACTACTTGTTTGTAATAGGTTACTTGTGGTAATCTATCTTTTATAGGTACCTTCTGCCCTCTTTGAAATTGCCTCTTCAGTGTGGGCATCTTATCACTGTGGCCATAATTATTTTGCAACTTTTGCTTCCCAAACTTCCCCACTTGATTACTACTACATGCATGGCAAGCAATTTGCCAAGGACTTATGATCAAGCAAGCATCCAGTTTACCCAACTTTAAACACAATTAGTACAAGAAGTTGAAGCCAAAAGGGTTGATTAGACCGATATTACTCCGCATAAATTGGCTTTAGTGAAATTTTAACCAATCATTGACCCACCAAATCGAATTGGTGCGTTGTCGGGTATACCTCCTTGTCTACCTATTTGCAATTGACAAATTCTCGTTGTCCTCATGTCATAACCAGAATCATTTAATGATTACCTTTTAAGATTATCTTTAAAAAAAAAATCAAATTGACATTTGTATAGCAATCCATATGTATTAAATAAAGGAACGATTCACCACTAGTATCTTAATTGTTATCCAAACTATTGATTTGCTTGTTTATATAAGTCACTGAACGATCTCTAATTCAATTGATTTCTTTAAAAAGATGATTGTTAAATGATGATCAAATATATGAACAGTTCTAATTACACGTATGACTATAGTTTGTTAGTTATACACAAGAAATTGCACTCAAGGATGCACCTAAATCTTGTTCAACCAAATTGAGTTTCACCTGAACCAAATTATTGTTCAACCAAAAGTATATTGCGAGGTTGGCAGTGCCTGCCCTTTTGCATTTTAAGTAAATATTCAAAGTCTAATCCTTAGCTATTACCTTATGCTTAACAACTTTTCCGGCCTATTTATGAAAAGAAAAGAAAAGTGAATCGTACCTTTTGGATTTGGATCCTCGTCGGATTCATTCCCTAGGATCAACGAACACAGACCGTTGATAAAAAATCGTGAGGTCCCAATTAAATGCTTTTTATATTTTTAAAAGTAAAACAACATCATTTTGTGTGAAAAATATAAAAAAGAAAAAAAATTGTGGCCACACGATTTTTGATCAACGGTCCATGTTTGTTGATCCCTAGGATCCCCAGGGAGGCGATCCGGCGAGGATCCAAATCCCTCCCTTTTAACCCCTCCCCATAACCTTCCTTTTTTTTTTTTTTTGGAAACTAGGAGATTCATTACCCTGGCAAAGATGCCAAACATAACATGGAGAGCCTACAACAAGGCAAGCAAACAACAAAGTGAAAGAAATACATCAAGCAGTGGAGGGAGTTACAATGAAGACGCATTAGCCAAGCTAACACGTCGCCCCCTCCACTGCCCTCACAACATTAAGGAGGACAAGGTAAACCATCATTGTGAAACACATGAACTAATGAAGATGGGGGGTCTGTTGATCCAGGTAACATCACACATCTTCGAACTTCTCTACGATGCCAACGAGTCTGCCGCCATGTTGGCTGATCTCTTGGAGTCCAAGACCAGCGATAGTCCTGGAAAGACTCCCTAGCCTTTTAACTTTCACTAAGGTAGGGTAGGCCTCCCATCTGCCATTTTCCAGCGAATCCGAAAGAGAGGAAATGGATTCGTAGGAATCAGATTCAACAATAACCATTCGAAGCCCCAAAGCCATACCAAATTCACATCCTTTGAGAAGGGCCAAGGCTTCAGCTGCATCAACGATCAATCATCAAACCCTAATCACCATTGTAATTTGGCTTTGTCACTCTTTTCGCGTGTAGCTTGATGTAGCTTGATGTATATCAAAGCTGGCCCAGGCCCAGTGCAGGCAGGCAACCGTCTGGGGTCCAAAATAATTGAGGGCACCAAAATTATTAGGGTGATATATTTATATATGTTTTCATAAGAGTATAAATTTATAAAATTTGGTTCAATGACAAAGAAATTTAACTAGAACTTCTGGTTTTGTTGTTTGAAATTAATGAGGAGGTATTGGGTTCAAAACACCATGTGTGCTTATTTACTTTTCAATTTTTACAAATTTCTTTTCAATTTTTTCAATTTTTACGAATTTTTGTTTGGTTGTTAATTTATTTTTAATTAGTACATTTGTTCCAATTCAAGTCTAATCTTCAACAAAGAGTAATGCGTTGATCAATTTTTTAGATCAAATTTGCAAATCATATGATGTCATCAAAAAGTTTAATTTAGTACCCATTTATTACTTATACATATCAATTAAAGACTCAAAAACATCATTATTTTTTTAGTCCCATATTGACAAGTTTAGTAAATAAGAAAAAACACCTCACGATTCATACAAAAACACTTTAAAAGTTTAGATTGAAAACAAAACTCATATCTATCTACTTGTAAACTCGAAGTTTTTTTGTTTCCTTCTCACGATACAAAATAAATTAGTTTTTCCGTATTTCTAAATTATTAAGTTTGAAGTATTTTTCTAAGTATAATTTTATCGATATCTTACGTATGAAAACAAATAATTTTTTTATATATAATAAGGGCACATTTTGTGGCGTCGCCTCGGACCTCAAAAATCTCTAAACCGACCCTGATGTATATAATATGTAAACCACTTTGTTAAAGTTATATAATTTTTCGTGTCAGTGTATGATCTTAGCATCATTCTTTCCGAAATTATATTTATATAGATCATGAAGTAAAAGAGGAGCCTAAACTACAAACTCGAAGAAATTCCCCTATTTGGTGATGACGTAGCAGCATGGAAAATGCATTATTTGTTACGATGGAGTGGGAAAATGGCACGTCATTGTATGAAAGTCGTTTCTTAATTTGGTGCCAAGTCCTTATTCAAGACAAAAGCAAGGGTACAGAATATGTTTCCATTTTGTCACCTTCTTCTCATCTTTTTATATTTGTATTGTTTTGGCTTTTATTTTTCGGGTTGGTTGGTAACCCATCTCTAGCTCCATCTAGAGCAATGCATGGTGCTCGGCTCTTCCCTTTTTTGCCAAGTAGTGTTTATAAACGTTATGTCGTCTCTATCCCATGACATGACACAGACCTCTCTTTCTCTCTCGTATAATATAAACGTTAGTGGACGAAAAAGATCGTATATAAGCTTTCTAATTGACATCAATTATTTTTTTACAAAAAAAATAAAAAAAAGTTGACATCAATTATTGGAGTATGATCTTATCATCCCCAATCCACACATTACCATATATAATTAGTTTAAACTAGAGGGTTTGTTAGCTACACAAATCATACATAATTCAACATGAGATCATGATGTGATGTGGTCTAGGATTATTGATGATTATGAACGCCTGCTGTATGTTGAGATGAATCACATATTGATGAGATGAGAGATTTTACATGAGTTTGTAATTAAGTAAATTGGGTTACTTCTTATATTGCCAATTGAATTTACAGTGGAATCTCAATTTCCTTCATGGTATTAGAGCAGGTTATCCCATGTGTGAAGCCTAACGGCCAAACGTGCTCCACATCACCTTGGTTGTGTTGTCCGTGTGTTTGGCTTGAAAATTTGCCGCACATGAAGATGCATGTTGAGACAAATCTCACATTGATAAGAGAAAAGACCTTGCATAAGCTTTATAACTAAGTTCAGTTACTCTACATATTGCCAATTAATTTTATGATGAAACCTCAACTTCCTTCACTTTATATATAATTATCATCCTTAATTAATACCTTAGCAGACCTAAATCCTCATTTTATATCCTAGACCTACTTCTGTTTAGTGAACAGCGAAAAATCAATTAATTAAAAATAAAAAAGCATAATATCGTGGGACATTTACACATACACACATAATACACATTATAATATATGTATAATATGTATGTGTGTGTGTGTATATAGAGGAAGTCTTTAAAGGAAGATATTTTCATTTTTTTTTATAAAAATAGGAATTATTTGTGGGGTTCACACCACATTGAATTTTACTGTTTATTTTCAAGTTATACCTCATAGATCATCCTTACAAAATATTAGCCAAATCGAAAATATTTAAGACATCTAATTGAGTTCAAAGAAATGAACGAATACTTTGTTATGTAAGAAACAATGAAATTTGATCTTGATAATTAAATGAACAAATGGTTTTAGATTGGATTGAAATAAATTTTTGTAAAGATAATTTATGAATCGAGATTTATAAAATAAACGATTTTCGATTGAATTGGTTTTAGACTGCATGCGTCTACGTTTCGATCGAGTTGGTTATGTGTTCCTCCTAATTAGGTATACGTCTCATGCAACGATCAATAAGGGTCAAGATCGATCAATCAAGAAGGATGTAGAACTCCAATGCATCCAAATTAATATAAGTATATTTATGTACAGTGTAGCTATCGGTGCATGCATATGTCAGGGTCGCTAATTAAAAATAATTATCCGTTAACCGTATACGTCAGTTCACTGATAATTAAAGGACTAATATCGATCGGATTAATTATGAAAAGGAAGCTTATAATAGACTTGACCTTATGTATTATTGGAGATAAGATAATTAAGTAAATGAAGATAACACGATAGATACCACAATTATTTCTAAAATATACATGCATGCTTTCACATATATTAAGCATTTTTCTCATTTCAAGTATATATACACGAAGGATGATGCTATTCACATATTTTTTATCTTTTATTTACACTTTTTTAATTTCAGTCGTCGAAACGAATGACTTGAAGATGATCAAACAACAAAAATTAACAAATGTTGTATCAAAGGTAAAAAGAGTGTGTAGATAGCACCACCCAACAGGAAATTCTACAATCTTTACACAATTAATTTATTTCATACTGTTCTTTGGTTGTTCTAACTAACAATAAAATACTAAAATAAAATTAAGAAGTTTGCAGTTTAAATAGTTAATAAGAGTCTTCATCTTTGCATCTAAGAAAAATCGAGTACCTTTGTTGGGGGACTTTTAGGTCGAGGTAGACTTGGGCTTTGAGAACGTCCACTTGTCTCCCTTGGTGCGGGTTCGCAACAAGTCATGGGATATCTCGAAAGAGATAGCCTGTCTTATGAAATATGCTGGTAACATCAACGGCTCGAAGATGGCATGAAAGATCAAGATTATGACTTGCTCAAGTGAAGCGCGGTGTGGAAGCTAAAAGATTATCAATTTACATGAGAGAGAAGGTTCGCTTGGTTGCATGACATTCTTAGCTGCATGATTTGGACTTTCCTAGGGTGATAGTAAGGCTTTTAATGGTTGAGATATTTGATGGAAGACTGTAGGAATTACTAAGGTTGCATGAAAGGTGATGCTTGAGGCTTGGAGTATACTTCTGGACTAAATGGAACTCTATGGGCTTCTTCCTGGGTGGTTCCCTCTCATCACATTTTCTCTATCTCTCCCTCTATGTTTTTTTGAATTCCTCTCTCTAATGGCTTCTCCCCCTCCTTATGTAGGTGAAGAGATATTCTCTAGATTTCAAGGGAATATCCCTTTGTGTCTTCCCTCTCTTTTCCTTAGCAATCATATTATTCCCCTTTTCATGTAAACTAGATGCACTGTTGAGACCTGCATATTGCTTCTTCCCGAGACGAGACTTTCCCGTAGTGACTTTCTGTAGGTGCTAAATTTGGTAACGTGCTTCACAACTTTTGCGCGTTGGTTATCTATGCAGGTTGGGAAGGGAAAGTCAACATTAAATGCCTGACTTGCTGGGCTTATCATGCATTTAATGCAAGAATCTCATTTAATCCTAACTAAGGGAGTTAGCCTGCCAGGGAAAGGGATAAACTAAGCTAATTCTTTCTCAATGATGCCTGTATGAAATACAAAGGGTATGGGCTTAGATATTTGGGCTCCCAAGTAGCCTAAAGTCTTCCATGACCCCGATTTCACATAAGCCCAATAACCTTCCATAACCATCCACACCACAATCCACTTGGCAAGCCCTAATATGTGACTTGGGCTTAGCATGAATTGTGGCTAAGGAAGGATGGCATGGTGAATAGGCTCGAGCATGGCGTGAATATTTGGCTTAATTACTGTGGCATGGCATGTTTGTAAATATATTCCTTGTAGCGCCTTGGCATGTGTTTGGGCTTGAATGTAGACTTTGTATGACAATTGGACCTTGAGACTTGGTTGGATTGGTGTGTGACATTTTTGGGCCCCAACATTAGCCCCCTTGATTATTTGGGCTATGAGATACTTTGAATGGGTAATTAACCCCATGCCCAAGGGATTCCCTTTTTGAATGTGGGCTTCATGACGAGACTCTTCCTCTTCCCGCGTGGCAGCTGATCACTTTCTGTCGTTGTGCTCCTTTACTTCCCGTGTATGTCCAATCATACAGAAAAACTTTGGGTATTCCCCCGCCTCCACTTGGTATCCGTTACAAATTGCTCTTCTCTCTAGGACAAGTATTTAATTTGTCCTTTCACTTCATCTCATCCTTTAATTCTCCTTCCTTCTTCAAATTTTCATAACTACTTTTTTTTTTTCCAAATTCTTCTCTGCTTTCTGCATTGGGTTGTGTCCTCTCGTTCATATTCCTTCAAGTTATGCAACAAGGCTTTATCCAGTTAAGGAAATTCTTCCCTTGACCCCATTTCGGATTTTTCTTCTCCTTTTTGCCTTATGCGTTTGCCATGTGATGAAATTAGGCATGCATCTTTCCTCTTTTGATTGTGTGTTTCAAAGATTCTAGGGTTTCACCATGGACGCGTAAGGGGTCTAGATCTTTCCTTCGAGAAATCGAACTCTACTTCTTGGGTAGCCTTGCTGCTTCAAAATTATATGTGTTTGCCCCTTATGATTTCTCTCTTGCTTTCCATGTATGTTGTGCAACTGTCATTTAGCCTTTCCTTTTTGCATGTTGGTGGGCGCTTAAGCAGGATTGATTGATCAATTACATTGATCTTCTTGGCATGATTAGCTTGACTGCATGTATAAATTGTATTTTGCTTGGTTGCACGTATGGCACACTTTCCTTTGCAACATCTTTTAGGACTTTGATAGTATGGCATGTGTAGGGAAAGATGCATGTGCTTTGTGTGATAGCATGTAGGGAAAATAGTCTCATATTAAAGTCCTAGACTTTTGCATGAAGGGATTTGATTTTATGCATGTACCCTTTTGCTTTCCCAGGGTAGATTCCTTATCGTGTTTCGCCTTGTATACTTACACATTTCTTCTTCCATGTTGCTTTGGTTTGAAACTTGCTTTCCATAGGTGCATTATAGATGTGGAGTCAGCAAAGTGCCTAACTGCAGTTGATGGGTCATTCACTACTAAGGACCGACTTCGACGAGGCAAGCCACCGCCTCTTCTTGGTTCTCAAAGCAATGCTTTCAAGGGGGAAGAGCCTTGCTTAGATTTGGTCCCTCCTATTGGTCCCATACATATTTCTTGGTGCTGTATCAAGAATGGGTTGTTTCCCGTCATGCTGATCCACTTCGAGTTCTCCTGTGGTGCAGCCATTGGTTGGGCAAATTGGGTGGATACCGAGCTTATGTTTGCGAACTAGTGAGTGACCTTGACACGGGCCAAGATTTTGGACGTTGTCTTTATGACCAAGAAGCAGATTGTATGTCTCGAGCTCGAATTTCTTCGCCACATGGTTATGCAGTGGAGTATAAAGGCCCATACTTTTGTTTGTGCTTGGGGAGAATTTACCCTTACTTTGGAAATGTTGCCAATATTATGCATCTTCCAATTGGGGGTAAAGTGGATCCCTTCCGTTACATCATTCATTCTATAGACACCAACATTTTTTATGTGTTGAAGAATGGTGTTCCTACCTCTCTGAGTAAGGCTTTTTCACTTCAACGAATAGATCAAACACTTTTGGCAAAACAAACAAGAGCTAAGCTGCAGGTTCGAGGCTATTTTATGTTTGTGGCTAGGCCACTTGGTCTTCTATGATAGTAAGGATACCTTCAGTCGTCAAGTGATTCCTTAGGCCATGGCAATTGCATGCAGCTAAGTGGTTCCGCTGGCTTCATTGTTTCTCGGGCTTTTCTACCATGAACTGGACCAGCTTCAAACTCTGGAGGAGCAAGTCGCGGGTAGTGGCTCATTGAAAATTTTTCTCTCTGCTAGCTTCCTGTAAATTTTCTTATGAGAGCACATCAAAGATTTGAAGATAACTCATTACCCTTCTAGCGCGGTGAAGAGCCGTTATGTTATTGACTCTTCATCTTATTTGCCTGAGAAGCTCTTTCTGGCTTGTCGCTGGTTTGGAAAGATTTCAGCAAAGAAGCATGACTTTTTGGAGCTTTTAAATGATGTGATCAGCTTTGTTTTCCGTCTATACGTGTTAGTCCTCGAAGGTTTTACCTCCATAATGTTCTTTACCGATGTTGCTTGTGATGATGATCCAAGTGTGACATTAATTCCTCTCTCCGAGAATCTGGATTTCCCTTCACTTACTGCAAAATCGTTGACTATGCTGGCTTATTCCATCCCTTTCCAGGGGGAAGAAAATGAGGAAAAAAGTGCAATTTACTCTCATTTCCGGATGCGACGGCAACTGGGCTTTGACCAAAGTGTACCAATGTCTTTCCCCGCTGAAGCTGATACCTCTTTCAACAATCTGTTTTGAAGTTTTGTGTACGCACCTCCGGAATGTTTTTGCCTTTTGGAGTATATTACCAACCAGACTTAAGTATGTGGCATCTCTAAAGGCTATACTGCTTATTGGTTGAAGTGTTTCTCTGTTATCGCCAAGTTTCATGGTGACAAGTAGCCACGGTTGTCTTCCAACATTGTTAGCCATCTCCGGCTAGTGTTAGAGCCTATGACTGCTGCTTCTGGTTTGAAGTGCCGATGCCGTACTACAGCAGAGGAAAGCAATGCTTCGTGTGACTTTTCTCGGAGCATTAAAAAGAGTAGGTCGTCAGGTATTGGTGAAGGAAAGTCTGCAGGTCAAAGGAAGAAAGCAACTTTGGGTATATTTCTTGGGTTGACTTCTCTTGCTAATCTTGTCGTTGCATGTTTTTCCCAAGTGTTTTATATGTTATGCCTCAGATGATGTAGTGAAACACTTCAAGCCTCGTGTGGTAAAGGACGACCCTTTCAGCAGTAAGCCTAATGCTTCTCCTACTCCAAAGAAATCAAAGAGCGAAAGTTCCTTGGGGAAGCCAAAGCTTAGTAATGAGTCATATTCTCTTGTTTCTTGCTTTCATTGCTTTGTGGTTGTGTGCTGATTATAAATTTTGTTATCGTCAAAATCCCTACCATGGGAGTAGCCCTCGCTGGCCCTGCACGTAGGACTAGGAGTGCCCGAGTGTCTGTGTAACGTCCCGAAATTTCTAATTCGGAAGCTAATTACTAAGGTTAGCCTGAAATTTATCATGGTTAATCAATATACTATTACCGACCATAAATTAAATTTGATCACATTATGGTTGCATCTAACCTCCTCATTAGACTGCCTACGTACCCTACGAAGGGATCAAGCCATTCGTAGTTCACAATTCCAATTTCTAATTCATTTTCGAAAATCATTCAAGTGAGTAACATCACTAACTAGGTTCAAACAAGTGAATCACACCCAATACATTTCAAATATGGATTCAAAATATCGAAATTAGTTTAAAAAGGTAGCATCGGCCCTCTAGCCACATGCAGCCTGGCGTGGTGGTTTCCGACGAACGGAAACCCAGTTTTTCGATGAACTCCAAAAATTACCAAAATTTAAAGTGTTGTAAAATTCAATGAGATGAACAACTTTCATACCTGAGCCAAAGTCCAATTAGACCGGGAAACACCCTAAATTGGCCTCGAACCGTCGGAAACCCTAGAAAAATGTGTTCTCGATCTGACTCCAAAACCATTTCGACGTCCCAACCAATGCTTAGGATTTGTCCCTGGGCTCAAGGGAAGTCTAATGGTGGTGGAGTTCAACAGGATTTCATTTAAAAATGGTGGATCGCCGTCAATGAACCCCGGCGACATCGAGGGTTTCATAGTACAGAGGGGCCAAAACCCATAAGTTTTTGGGTGTAATTGATGGAGGGATCAACAGAGTAATTTGACACTAAGCTTGTCGTTAACAATGGCTGGAATCGGAGAATCCGACCGGGTCGGGTCAGTTGGTCATGGGGATCCGGTTCTCTCTCATTCCTTCTTTCCCTCTTTGTTCTTCTTTCTAATTGGTCTCTCTCTTCTCTTCCCTCATCTGATTGGCTACAAACCCCTTATTTCTTTCCTCTTCCTTCCCTTACAGCCACACATGTGGCATCATCTCCTTGCTCCAGATTTTCTGGAGCCTTCTAGGTTATGGTCAAATTACCATTTTACCCTAAACTTTGCTCGTTCATAACTTATTCATTATAACTCCGTTTCACGAACGGTTTATGCCTATGCGTTCGTGGGATTGAGTTCTATCCAAATATGCCAAGAAATTCGATAAAATATACTAGGATATAAATATGTCCTCATATAATTACATTCCCAACTAGGGCATTTTCGTCATTTCCATAATCACATATTTTAAAATTTTCAGGGTATTACATTCGACCCCCATTAAAATAAATCTCGTCCACGAGATTTCTACCCTCGAATAACAAAAAAGGAATTAGAGCTAATTCCACCATTCCATTTATAGTGAATAAAATCATAACCTTAGGCTACGATTTTATTCAAGCCCTCAGAAATAAATACTTCC